TTTTTGTTTTATTTCTTTAACGATTCAACATTTAATAAGCGATTGCAAATATAAGGTGGAAAACACTTTAAAGCAGAGAAAAAATTTTCAAAATAATTTCGAGAGTATTTTCATTTAAGATGATTCAAAATAGCTTTTGTTGAGCAAATATCTAAATATCTTGATGCCTATATTTTTTTATTTCTCGTAATTAAATAAAATTTACAACAGATAAATTTTTCACTTACTGATCTCTTTCTTATAAGATATGAATCGTAAAATATATTTCATTCGATTTTTTTAGTGGCAATATTCATATTTGCATATTTAGTATTGTGTAGTTAAAATTCTTGCTTTTTTTATAGATTATTTTGGATAATCTTTTGTTTTGCATTTCAGTTTTTCCGTTTTCTTTATTTCATTTTAAAAAGTTGATTTCTAGATTTCCGTTTTTTTTTATTTCATTTTTAAGTTGGTTTTTATGCAATGTGGAGAAATGTAGAAGTAAACACATAAATTTTTCGTAATTTTTTATAATTTTATACCACTTCCGTTTTTTCATTTCTTTTGATTTTTTATCAATTCCAATATCCTTTGATGATGACTAGTTGAAAAAAAATATCATTTCCATATTCTCTCAACTATTCAAGAAAAGTAATTAAGCTTTTTGAAGTGTCAAATTATTCTCTTTTCGTATTTTGTTTTAGATTTATTGAGAATGAAATTTGTAATGAAAATGCAAAATGGCTCTCGATTTCACTAAAAATATTGAAATATAAAAAAATTTACTTCTGATATATTTCAAAATTATTTATTTATTTATTTGATTTATTAAGATGTATTTGAAAATGAGCTGTTTATATTTTTTCTCCAAAATCATTATGTTTGTGCAATCGACAAGAAAAATCTGTTAGATAAAAAGGAGAAAAGGAGAATGGAAAGGCAACAAAGGAAACAACATGTGAAATCTCTTGAAATATTTGTAGATAAAAAATGATTTTAAAAAATAGGTGTATATTTTTGTTGATAAACATCATAATGTCCCATCATAATAATATAGGGATAGAATGGTTTATTGGGCTGTCACTTAATTCCCCGCAGTAAACTCGTTCAAAAATCTGAGTTATTCTAGCGACTTGCCTGTACTTCTATCGCCAAAAGACTGCCTGGCATGTTTATTCAGTGCGGAAAGCCAGCGGAGCGAGTTTAACCAGTAATGATGGGGGCTATTAAAGAAATTCAGCAATAATATAAACCAATCATGGACCGGCAAGGTAAAATAGGTATGACAGCCAATTTAAATTTTTTGTTGGCATATTGGCAGTGAGTTCATTTATTTTAGGTTTTAGCAGAAAACAAACGAGTATTTAAACGAGTAGCCCAAGAAATCACTTTCCGTACCATCTAATCGATTTTGGGAAATCCCTATCTGTAAATGGTTTTATGGCAAAAGAATTTGACATCAGTGGAGATCAAACCAGTAGTCATCACTCACTCCAGTGGGACAAAAAACGTGAATTGATTTATTACAGCGAGAAAGTGAGCAAAAATTTTGATGGGCAAATCAAATTTAACTGAATTTCCAAAAATTTTTTCCTCCTTTGCACTCAAAAACAGCGCAATACGAGGTTTATTGAAAAAAGTTGGCGACAAAAATTTTTGAATTGTTGCAGTTTCGAGAAATCATAAAACTTTATTAATTTGAAAAGTTATTATTAATTTATTAATTTGAAAAGTTGAAAATTTATTAATTAAATTGATTTTATAAACGTTCATTTGCACAGCAATTTTTAAAATCGAAAAACAAGTTTTCACTAAAATTTCGCTATTTTAAATCAGATTAAAAAATTTTGTTTTAAAAATTCGACGTTGATCGCGTTATTGAATCGATAATAAATTTATAACGTGTAAATATTTTTAAAAATAGATTTTTATAATTTTAAATTTTTATTTTTCAAAGTTGTTATTCATAATATTATTAGTGTGTCCTCTTTTCCCATCGAAAAAGTTTTGTTCGCGTTCACCATTTAAATTCGATTTGTTTGCTGCACGGTTGTACGGTTAGAAATTTTTGCCAAAGAAGTCAAATGGCAGTAGAAGCGTAGGCGGATTGCCAGTATCACCCGGATTTTTTAATGACAGATTTGCCTGACCGGCATGCTTCTTCTTAATACGATAATCTGAGCGAATATCCACTTGGCGACCTCATGGAGAAACCAGATTTCACTATTTTAAATTTCGTTGGAAAAATAGAGTTCTACCATAAGCCATAAGCTGGTGTTATCACTATTATAAGACATGTTTTTCTCAAGGTATTTTTCTAGGTGGAAAAGTATGAAATTATGGGCTGGAAGAGACAAAACCTCAACGAATAAATACCAATGAAAATGCACATTCATAGTCGACATTACATAAAATTTCTTGACTTCTACTCGAGTTTCAGGGAGAATTTGGCGAAAAATTTAGTACACATTAATTTTGCATTTATGGATAATTCAAGTAAAATTCAGCGAAAATTTTCAAGATTTTACCAGTTGTATAACAAGCATAAGTATTTATACATTAATTTCTTTATTTTTTTATCTGTGATTTTTTCAATTTTTGGCGAACAAACTGTAAGCATTTCTGAATTTGAAAAAGTTAATTGGCTATATTTCTTGTTCTTTTCCAGACAATACATACCATGATGATTGGTTCCACGATTGCAAGGGTGACTGTTTTTATTAGCTTGATAATGTATATCTAGGCACATTCAAAAATTACCTCAAAAAATTAGAAAGTTCTGTAAAATATTTTTAGAATATTTAAAATATTTTTATTTAAAATTAAAATAAAAAATTTACGAAATTATATGTAGGCATTAAAATGAAATGGATCGATTTGCGTTGAGTATCAAAAAATCAATTTGCCTGGTCGGAGTAAACCTGTCATTAAAAAATCCGGGTTTTTGCCTAACTATAATTTCTAACTATATTAATGGTTGGAACTAGTCTAATCGGCGATGGTGAGCGCTTACCAATCTCCTATGTTTAAAAAGGAGAATGTATATTAGTGAAAATTTACCACCAATTGCTTGCTAACTGCTTAAAGAAAAACGATTCGCAGAAATGACACCTTATTTTCTAAAATGGGGTGGGTTTTTTCCACCTTACTTTAAATATGGTGTATTTGTTATTTGTGGCTTCGAATTATGCATATCAGCAATTTCGATGGCTGTTGGACAGAAATATTATGAATTATGCTCAATACTTTTCCCGATTTCTATGAGAATATTCGATGACACTGTACAAAAACGAATTCCTAATTTCAAATGGACGGCTGAAGAACGAAGCGTACTTCGAATGGTGGTCATTTCCTCTTTTTTCTATAATATTATGCTAAGAAAATTGAAATTAACCTATTTTCTTGGTTTTACGTCCAACCATATGAATTAATTCTTGTAAAAAAATTAATTAATAAAGCAAAAATATTCATATTAATGATAACAAAATTATGTGAAAACTCTGATATACCCAGCATTTCGTTATTCTTAAAGTGAGATTTGATAGTGCATTTAATAGTACATCTGCTGCTTCTTCGTTCTTTAATACTGACCATTTCTGGTTTGGTTGGTTCCACTGATTCAATGGCCTTGTGCTCGTGGAACCACAAGTAAATTTTCACAAAGATTATGGTCATCGTTAATCATCATCTATATATATATCTATGTCCTATATACATGATAATGATGATTTGAGGAAAAACAAAAGGTGATAGAAGAATTTGGCCACAAAGGAAAGATTTGATGAAATCATGCTTTAAAAAATGCGTTATAGTAATGCAATTTTTTTTTCATCATTTCAGTCCAGGTTTAAGTGAATCGGTGTCAAGATGACAGGAAGGCCAAATGTTATGTCGCTCCGGCTGAGATTGAATATTATGGATTAAATTCCTTAGGAATAAAATTCCTTAGTAGGAATGTCACTGGTAGTGAAATCCGGAGTACCAGAAATAATAAGAATTATTAAAAAAAGAAAGGAATATGAAATAGCTCGACTTTGCAGTTCAATAAATTGTTTTCTAAATATTTCAGCATGAACAAAAATTATTCATATTATGGTGTACATCGACGATAAATGTTATTGTATCAATGCTTTTCATTATATCTTTCTTCTTCAAATTCAGCAGAACCAATAGTTCAAATCAAGTTTCTTTTAAATTTTATTCATATTATACGAATAATATTCACTCATTTAAAATGAACAATGAATTAAATAAATGAAATTTTTCTAAAGAATGTAAAAAGAAAACAAAGAAAAACTAAGAAAATACCTATTTCTATCAATTCATGCCGGTTGAAGAAGCCAGACTTTAAATACCTTGGATCCACTCTAATACCGAATGGCCAGGCAAAGGTTGAAACCTTTGACCACTCATGTCTAAGATACATTTTACGAATTCGTCGATCGGATGAAATCGCACATGATTATATCCATCTTCGCTCAAATACCTTCTGTATTAATAATGTTATCATAGAGCTGTCGCCTTCACTGGTTAGGGCACGTTCTCCATCGTTCACCGCAGGAGTTGACGCATGAGTCGCTACTTGCCGAATCCTGTGATGGTTGGCATCAAAAGCGAAGAGGGCCAGTCAACACCTGGACTGATACAGTCAGGAAAGATTTTGAACGTATAGGGAGACCAGCGATATATTAGACGATAGGAAAAGGAATGGCTTCTATTACTACTAGCGTCGGCGTCGAACCAAGCAGCTTGGAGACGTACCAGTCATACCCTTACCAGTAATGGCTGTTAGAAGAAGAAGGAAAAAAATTGTAAAAAAGATTTTAAAGCAAATTTTTTGCCCACAAAATTACTAATTAACGAGAAAATTTGTGAATTTTTCTTACCGGTTGGAGTTTTTAAATAACTAAAGTTAAATAACTAAGAGTAAATAATAATATTGGAAATAATATTAATTTTATTGCTGTGGCATGACTACGCTCTTCCTTGATTCTCGATTCCGAATAAATAGGCAATATTCTCCGTTAATTTAAATTTATTTCTAAATTTTTTATATCTAAAACTAATTTATGACTTAATAATGATTGAAAAAATAATTTAGGGCAGTTTGAAGATAAAAATAATGTATTTATCTGCGGCGGTCTTTTTATTATGCACATTGTTCAATGGTTTTGTGCTATTTTGGTTGTATTTTACGGCTTCAGATGAACATAAATTATTTTATTCTTTGTTTAATAACGCTGCAAAAGAAGAAATATTTTTAACTGAAATCGAAAAAGGTTTTGATTGTATTTCTGATGATGATAAGGAACTTCCGAGCACTTCAATGGTATGTATTTCATTCAAGTGAGAGCTTTGCACCCATCGTTTCTGGTTATGCTGGCTCCGTTAACAGTAGAACGATGAGAAACTTCGTCTGTGGTCATTCAGTCACCTTATGATCACAACAGATATCTTATGCATTAATACCGAATAACTTTTCTCTTGAATATTCTCGCGATATGGTTGCATTGTTTGAACGAAAATATATGCATGGATTTTTAGGGCGAAAAATAATGCTGCTTCGATAGATGTTAATCTTCATGGGTACTAGCAACTTTATATGGAATTCGGGGGGTGGAGGGGGTGGTGAGGATTTATTTTTGACCCTCTGGCGAAGAGATGTCTTCCTAAAAGCCAATGAAGCACGCCAAATCAGAAATGATAAGGGAAAAGTGGATTTTAAAAATTTTCATAAGACATGAAATATGCCCATTTTTGCGAAAAAAATTATTATTATCTATATATACTATTTCCGATTTCATATTTTAAAGAAATTTTCTAAGTTCATGACAGCTTAATTTTCGAAAGGAATGTGATAATTTGGTGAACCGTTCGGTTATAAATGAAAAATATTTATCGATGCTATCAATGATATGGATTGTTGGACATACGATTGCATTAATCTTATTTGGTTTCGCTAATAAAAGTACACTTTTATAAATTTTATTTACATCAAACTGATTGTTCATTGTATCGAAACTATGTTTATGGAATCAGTTCAACCTACTGCAGTCTAAAATTTAGATTTCGGAGAAGACAGGGAAGAGGAGGTCGAAAGTAAATTACTCGTCTGATCAAATGAAAAATGGTAAGTGGTTTGCATCGCCTTTATTAATTACAAAATTGAAAGAGTACACTGTTAAATGCTATATTGTCGAAGAGAGCTAGAAAAATTTCAGGATCGATATTATTATGATTCTACTGCAGTTATTGTTGCCATGAACCATGCAAGAAATTTCATTATTGTAATGAAACCAGTTATGGAAATTAAAAGAAAAAATAACTCTTTCATGATTTCTTCCATCATTTTTTGCCAAAAAATGCCTAAATAATTCGTTCTTTCCTTGATATTTACAAAAAAGAAAAAGAGAAAGAAGAGATGAAATCTGAAATAAGTGAAATTTTTTAATTTCATATATTTTTCTTCAAACTGAAAATTTAAACCAGGAATCGCTGAATTTTCGTCTCAAATAATCTTTCTTAACATTACCATTCGCATTATAATTAAGCAAATAAACTCAAATATTTTTCAAATAATGGAAGATAATTTCATTAAATGCGAGATTTTCCACAGAATTGTTTTTTTCATTAAACTTCGCCATTTGTGCGTAGAATTTCGACAAATTATAGTTGCTTCGAAAATTGCGATTTTCATCAGCATACGAACTAGAATCACAAATTTGTTCAATAATTTCAGAAAAATAGACCTTCAATGACCTGACTTCAAAAATAAATTAAAGGAAACAAAAGAAAATATAGAAAAGAGATGACGAGAATTCCAGAGTTATTCCAGAAAAAAGTGTGGAAATATATGAAATATATGAAAGACCAGAAAGAAGAATAAAAAAAGCGAAGCAACAGATAAAACAATATATCGCTAAGAGAATAATTTGACACTTCAAAAAGCTTAATTACTTTTCTTGAATAGTTGAGAGAATATGGAAATGATATTTTTTTTCAACTAGTCATCATCAAAGGATATTGGAATTGATAAAAAATCAAAAGAAATGAAAAAACGGAAGTGGTATAAAATTATAAAAAATTACGAAAAATTTATGTGTTTACTTCTACATTTCTCCACATTGCATAAAAACCAACTTAAAAATGAAATAAAAAAAAACGGAAATCTAGAAATCAACTTTTTAAAATGAAATAAAGAAAACGGAAAAACTGAAATGCAAAACAAAAGATTATCCAAAATAATCTATAAAAAAAGCAAGAATTTTAACTACACAATACTAAATATGCAAATATGAATATTGCCACTAAAAAAATCGAATGAAATATATTTTACGATTCATATCTTATAAGAAAGAGATCAGTAAGTGAAAAATTTATCTGTTGTAAATTTTATTTAATTACGAGAAATAAAAAAATATAGGCATCAAGATATTTAGATATTTGCTCAACAAAAGCTATTTTGAATCATCTTAAATGAAAATACTCTCGAAATTATTTTGAAAATTTTTTCTCTGCTTTAAAGTGTTTTCCACCTTATATTTGCAATCGCTTATTAAATGTTGAATCGTTAAAGAAATAAAACAAAAAAAAATAAATATATCATCAGAATACAGTTCTCACCAAAAAAAATTTTCTTACTGATCATCACATGTGTCATAAAAAGTGATACTTGTAGGTTCCATTCGCTGGTAATAATTATCCATTGATCTCATATGTGGGTTAAAACTTGTGCCCGGCACAACAGCTCCATCATCAATACGATAACTTACTAATGAATATAACTGATCGCCAGCCGCACTACGCATAGTCCAAATAACCTTTTTTATACTACGTTCAGGAGTTGTATTTGCGTGAATACAATATCGTTTTTCCAAAATATAATCATGCTCTCCTCTGCGGCAAAGTGATTTTGAATCCAAATACAATGTTCGAGTTGTGCAACGCAAATTGGGCCCATTCCATTTACCTACAATAATTTTTTATTGTTTTATAACAATTAATAAAAGCCCGTTAGTCATCGCAATAATTATAAAAATATTTCTAAAACTCCAATATCTAAGAAATTATATTTCCATAATTCAATGAAATGTAGTCATATAAATTACTATTATATATCATTCAATACAATCATTATAAATATAAATAAATATAAATAATGAATTAACAATTAAGAAAAGAGAGTAAAGTCAAACAATAAATAAAACCTAAATTATCAGCTAACAAATAAGAGACAGGAACACTTCCGTCAACCAAAAAAGAAACCGCTCCACCACTCAATCCATCAAGAAATATCATAGGCGCTTCTCTGCATATAAGTGCAACAGGAATTTCTCTGCAAAAGAATGTTCTTGGTTTATTTCGGATTTAAATTTCAAAATCATTTGCATTACCTTTTTTTCTGCAAAATAGCAACTGGGATATCATATACTCGACTGTAGAATTTTTCATCGAAAATAGGGTGATCTGTCACGCGACGAGCGAATGACGGAATATGTATCGCTTTCGAATTGCGCTGTTGATAACTACGCTCAAAATCAACATCTTCTTCATCATAATCTTGTTGTTCTCCATCATTTGCAACATTCATTTGGTGCCCTTCTTTTTTCATAACAAATTGCTCTTTATCGATCTCAGAACAGCTAGGTTGTTGTTCATTTTCATTTTCCTCACATCCTTTCGATTCTTCACTTATAACTTTACTTTTATCGCGATCATCTTCATCATTTTTTTCAGTTTGATCAGATTCTTCCATTTCATTTTTCAGATTTATTCTACGTGCACGAGAGACTACTTCAGTTCCAGACAAGCATCTACGATTGACCCTCAAACGAGCTATATCTTGCTGATATTCATCGGCTGTGTCTCTTATTCCACTCCAGTCTGAGGCGTACCTGCGCATAATTCCCCGACCTGTTATGAACCTCGATTGATATCTCGTGTTTTCTGCTTCTCTATAGGCAACTCGATAACCTTCCGGAGAAAATCGGCGTAGTGGGTGTGGTTCTCTTTGAGGCCGTCGGGATGTACGTTCATTATCCATCTGTAATCGATGCTCATCTCTTTCTGCCACCCATTCTAACATTTCAGTACCATCGTCTTCCACTATTACATGTTCATCTTCATCATCTTCCAAACCTAACTGAAAAAAATAGCAAATTGATAAGGAAATAAAATTTTTCAAGCGCCAGTAATTTATTATATATATTAATAATTATTTATGAAATTGTCATTTCAAAATTATAGTAAACAAAATATAAAATTTGATTGCAAATAAAAAGATGTTTTCGAAATAAACAAATATTTTTAACGAATAAAATTAAAAAAATTGACCACAGTATGCTCATCCTCTATCAATGTTAATCTGTCTGATCGCATTATGGATGTAGGCATTATTTTATAGTCGGATGATGGTACTTCACGACGACGACGCTTTCTTACAGGTGACGGTGGCATTACATTGCTTTCTCTACGTGATATCGATGCTGCCAAAAATTCTTTTCTTTCGCCAACACGATCTACAAACTTTTTAGCAGACTGAGCAAATATTGAAACCGCCAAATTATGTGTGCAAATTGGCCGTTTATCACTGCAGTTGCAATGATATACATCTTCAGAAATAAGTTGAACGGTGTGCCTGAAAATTAAAATTAAAAAGAAAAAATTTGCAGTCTCAGTCCAGTATCGGATATAATTTCTTATTTTTTTTCCTATTTCTTTTCGTTTTGCTTCTTTTACTTCATTATTTGCTTCATTATTTGCATTTGTATTATTCTCTTTCTTTGTAATACTAATATTACTACCATTAATACTAAATAATAGTACTAATAATATTAAAACTACTCCAGCATATGGTTTTACATCCTACTTGGTTCATAATCAAATAAATATAAAAAATTAATCTGTGCAATGATGACGGAAGATTGAAAAAATATGAAACATTTACACAATGGAAGCATCGCGAACTGCGAATGTTTCCTCATCGAATCGCTTAATTTCATTGTGATCCACTAAGGCTCTAGCATAGCTCATCATTTTCCTCCATTCATGAAGGGTATAAATAGATTGTAAAGAAACTGGCAGTTCATCTACAATTTTTTTATTTAATCAGAAATCAATAAAATCAACAATGATCTTCATATATACAAAGACAAACTGGTCAAAAAATATTTCATTTAAATTCGAATTGCTTCTTATTAATTTGTTTGCTTTATTCATTACTTATATTTATATTATTCTCTTATATATTATTAAAACTTATTACCCTCTATCTTTGTAATACTAATATTACCATTAATACTAAACAATAGTTGAATAAATAATAGTCGATTTAGGTGAAGTTTTTGCAAAAAAGAGAAAAAGCAGCTAAGAAAAAGAATTTAAAATGAATCTGCTATTTTCATAATAACACTTGAAAAAAATATTGAAAAGACTGAAAAACTGGAAATTCTAGACCAGAAAAAGTTCAGCAAAAAACTATATAATAGGAGAAGAATACCTAAAATATTTATTTTGCAAAAGTGCAAAAAAATCCTCAAGATAACCTTCGATTATTCCGGTTGAAAATGCTGCCTTTTTATTAATGACAGGTAAACTTTTCCATGCATGTTCATCCATGCATGAATTTTTCAAATCCGGAGTTAAATCGAATTCACCAAGACGTAAATATTGATCTTCAATTATGATTTTTGAAAAAAAAATCTATAATATAAACAGTTTAAAATTCTTCATGAATGAATGAATTCACAAAAAAAACCTCGTGTGAACGTCTCCAAAGTTTGTATAAGTGAGTGAAAACCATCAATTTCATTCTGTTTTAAATATCGCCTTAAAATGCCATTCATTCCTCTTATTTCGTTGGTTATACCATTAGTATTTCCTCGGCCAAGACCTGCTTCAACTCTTCGTGGCAATAAATATCCTTTAAAAAGACCAAAAAATCATTCAAAAATAACAATCTTTAATGAATCAATCACTTATTAGCAAAAAGTAATATAAAAAATGTCAGACCATCACAAATTATTTCGGCTTGAAATCTAAGAAAATAGCTTGAAAATCCCTTTATTGGCCAATGGCTCATAAGAATCTTTAAAGTAGAATTAAAATGTTCATCGCTCACACAATCAACCATTCCTATAATAAAAGAAAAACTATATAAATAAGATATAATATAAATTTTATATCGCGCATAATAAACAATTTTAAATTAAATTAAAATATTTTTAAAAAATGATCATTATGTACCGCATTCACGTTGCGATCCATCTGCAGGCAATTCTAACCCTTCACTGCCATATATTTCTCGTAGAATTCGAATGGATTGTGTTTCTGATGCACCCATTTCACGCAACTGCATTTTTGTGTTTCGCTGGAGACGAACACCACAACGAATATGAACAGTTGGTTGTGCGAACATCGGGCATTTTTTAACGCTATCCATTACTGGATCACCATCCGTTAAAAAAGCACGAACGCGAAGATTATCATCCGAACCACATAAATTCCATAAACAATTTGCAGCCCATGAATAAACTTCTTCATCTTTTCGTGTACTTAAACAGAATGCGGCAATGCATAATGGATGAAGACCATTTGATTTACCAATGAATCTTATATTCCGATAAGCAAAGACTGTTAAGTACATATCATTTAAATCGTACGTCTGATCTATAATTAATATTGATGGACCAGACTTACTATAATCAAGTACATTCTCATCCATATAAAAATCCATCATTTCGGATACATTCATATCGCATGGTGGCGTTAGATTATGCAGCCGCTGAGACAATTCCTCTATATTCTCCGTACAACTATTTTTAAAATTAATTATCATTGACTGCGATGCACAAAAAACTTTTTGACCAGTTGTTGTACGATGGGTGAATTGAACAAATCCTTTACTTGGAAGACAGTATAAATCTTCAACACCTGTTCGCATTGGTTTATTTCTTAATTTTGTTGGACCACAGTGCATTGATGATGGACAGCGATACCTGCTTAAATTATATAATTGTTTATCATTCCGTGGTAAAGCTTGAGAATCAGTCACTGATGATAAGCCACCAGCACTTCTAATCATGCGCATTGTTATATCTTTTGGAGTCAATGTTTTACGAAGAATTTTCATTTTTTCTATTGAAGATGGTAAAATACGCTGATAAATTGATGCCGCTGGAGATTTTGCATTTCCGTGAGCTTTGAATGGTACAGTTGCTCCATCTGCTATGCGATAACTGATTAAGGAATATAACTGTTCACCAAAAGCAGTTCGCATTGTCCAAGCAACTTTTCGTATACTACGATCTGGTACGGCATTGCCGTGTATGCCATAACGTTTTTCCACAATATAATCGTGTTCACCTTTACGGCATATCGTTCTGTCATTAACAAATAGAGTTCGTGTGGTTGTACGCATACCTTGTCGTGTCCACTTGCCTAAAAATTTTTTTAAAATATAATATTATACAAATCGAAATAAAGAGTTTTCTAACACTTAAAAATTATACAATATATAATTAATATAAATATAATGATATAAATAATCAAATGAATGCTAAAAACTCACCAAGATTATCAACAAGTATATCAGACACTGGAACACAATTATCAATCAAAAATGTTAAATCGCCACCTTGTCCACCATCTAAGAACAGCCTCGGCGTTGTTTTACATAACAATGAAGGAGGAACTCGCCTGAAGAAAACAACGGAAATATTTTATTAGTAAACTAATTGGAAGAAAATATAAAGACAGGTCAAATCGCATTATCGCATTATTTGTTCAATATAAATATTAGTACTAAAATGCTGAAATTGTTGAACTGATATAACCCGAAAAAAATTCCAGTCAATTTAATTTTACGAAAATCAAAAATAAAAAGGAGAAAAAAGTTTAATTGAAAAAAATTTTCTAATAAACCTTCGTTGTTGAAGAATTGCAAACGGTAGATCATAAACTCGATTGTAAAATCGTTCATCAAAAACGGGATGTTCAGTAATGCGTTCAGCGAAACTTGGACCAGGATGTAACTGATTGATATGTTCAACATTCACATGTTGTGCATCTGTACCAACACCACTGTCATCATCGTCTCGAACTTGACGTCTCGCTTCGTCATTTTCAAGTGCAATAAGACGCTCTTCTTTTTCACGTTTTGATACACGTCGTCGTTGTAGTAAATCACTTTGCAAAACTTGACTAATATTATTTTCATTATTATCACCGACAACATTCGTCTCATTTGCATTATCATTTTCATTCATCAACTCTGCAGTTGAATCATTCTTAGCATCAACTAACGCGTGATGATGCACTGTTGCACGTTCGTCGTCTTCCTCATCATCCTCATCATCATCTTCTTCTTCGTCTTTCATTAAATTTGATTCAGTTGAGATAACATTTTCAACTTCGACAGTTATCTCATCGACATTTGGATCAACTTCTTCTTCAACAAGAATTTCATTTGCTTCATCTAATGTTACTTCATCTTTTTCGATTTCAATTATTGCCGAATCATCACCCTCACTTTCCATTTTTTTTTCTGCAATTTCTGCAACATAGCTAATGAATTAAAAATCTTATTTTACTTAGCAAGCTTTAAATCCGACTGACTTCTTCCCTCGACATCACCGAGTTCAAAATATGCTTTCAGCCTCAATTATTAACGATGTGTTCTGCTTATTTAATGGCCGCAGTAATCTGAGTTTTGATTAAAACCACAAAAAGTCGGCTATCGGCTCCGATTTAGGAATAAAAATTCGAAATGACAATAATTGCTCATATTGTTTTAATTTTGCAATCTAACATAGAGAAAGTGTGGGTATATGAGTGATGGAATAGCTTATGATTAATGAATATATATGGTAGTTCATTTGATTTATTTCTAGGATATAAATTCTTGAAATTTTTTTGGGAAATATCCTTAAATATTCTTAAATTTCACTCAAAATTAAAAATTAAGTGGACTTTACACGTAGCATAATAGATAAACATAGAAAATTTGTTTCATATAAAACAACTCATTTTTATCAATTTTCTTTCTTTATCGTCTCAAGCAGAAAAATCTTGTTATCAGTCACTTAAAACTTAAAGATATATTTTAAAAAAAAATGTAAAATATTCCTTTCCAGTTGAAAATTTGCTTACGAAATTACAAAATTATCAACACCAGAGTGCGAAACTGACAAGAAAAGAATAGAACAGAGCTGAAAGTTCAACTAAATTCTAGCCGAAATCGTTGACTAATTGACTCTCTCCTAACTGCCTTCTAACTGGAATATGAAATCCGAGTGATTCCTGGGAATCCTCCGAGAATATACCTCAGAGCGATTCCTTGGCGAAAATATCTTATTTTAGTAATCCATGCAACCAGCTAAACCAGGTTTGCGTAATTAGAAGAAAAAAAATAGCCTAATTTCACATTGTTGCATGGATTTATTTTTTTTTAAATAAATAAATACAACAAAAGAATTGAGTTCAGGCATAGGTTTTTCGCTTCTTCAAATGGCAAATGTGAGATTAATTCATGGTGGGAAAGGGATAGTTGAATAGTACCATGTTGAGGTGCGAGAGTTCGAAGCATGCTCTCGGCAGAAGCAAATCTATTATCAAGAAGTCCGGGTAGTTGCACTTATATAGGTAGTATTTGCACTTCTGTCAATTCTCTGGAAAAAATTTCTGAAAAAAATAACTAACGGTGTAATAGAACGGACAACTGAAAATGTCTTACTGCAGTTAATGAGCGATAACCATTTAAAAATAAATTCTTATTAAAATCCTCATAATTTACCACAACTTCGGATTTCTTGAAGTAAATCTTTACAATAAAATAGTAATACAATAGAAAAAAAAACCATTGACAATGGCTTTATTATTTCGATATTATTGATAGTTTTTTTAAAAATATTAATTAAAAAATAAGATTGGTTTTTTTGCAATTTTCTACTGTTAAGCTAGTTTTATGACTTATTAAAATAGGACACTCGTCACGACTATAGGCGGATTTTTTAAATAAAAGATGTCAAGGGAGAGGGAGGGGAGGGTGTAGTACTTTCTTTATTATTTTTATTCTTTACCATTTATAATCAAGAAATAGAAAAACTTGAAAGCAACTAGTAGTTTGCTTCAAAGATCTTTCCTCGAACGGAAATGAACTATTAAATATGAAATTCTTGTGATATTGGTATCTCATCTATATTTTCACCCAAAATAACTAGCTGGCGAAAAGTTCTCATCCAAGAATCAACTGAGGCAGCTAAATTCAAAAAATTGTGAGTGCTATTTTTTTCGAAGAGTGCTCACCATCACTCGTTGGGCTGGCTTGTTGGACGGGACACATTTTTACCAGGGAGAGTTAACAGGGAGATGATAGAAATAAAGTGAGCCGCCAGCATCATTTAGGCGCCGACGCTAGGGTCCTTGAAAAATCAACTACCTACTGCACCATTTCACTGCTCGTTCTTTCACCACTCGGCGACAATGCCAGCAGATGAAGTATGCTGTCTCGTCGTCTCAGTTCGAACCGAGTCATTCTTGGTGAGTGAAGAATGAGAGAAAACGCATATGAACTATATTTGATTATTAGAAGAAGAACTATTAGAAGAAGAATGAGAGAAAACGCATATGAACTATATTTGATTATTTTTCAAATATTTAGAATATAAAAATAAAATTCCTTTGAATAATTTTGATAAACTAATTTTGGTATAAAAATTATTAAAAATTCTATCTTTCGCATTATTTCATAATCAGAATCAATTTTTGTTAGAAAATTCACGTTTTTCACTATTTTCCCTCTGTTCTTTTCCGCTATGTTTATCTAAATTTTAGTAAATCTTTATTTTCATTGGAAAAAATCGGCTCAGACCCGGGATTTTTCAGAAAATACTACGAGTAATAAGTACTAAAACCCAGACGATAAAGGGGAAGCCGCCGCTACTCGAACCGCACGCATGCGCTAAACAGCGGTTCAGCCTTACAGTATTCCTTCAAGGATCTTTGAATTTTATAGCTCAAGTTTTGGGTTTTAAAACGAATGCAGAATTTCGTTGTGGGATAAATTGGATCGAAAAATAGATCAATTGCTAGATTGGTACCGAGCAGAATTTTTTTGTTGTTGTTGTGTTTAGGTTGGAACGTAATATATACGATTGGAAGTCGGAACATGTTGGAGTCTTTTTGAATGGTACTGATTCGCGGTACTTTAAATAGATAGCCTGGTTGAGTGCGAAAAGCGTATTTATTATTACGTTCTACCTTCTCGAAAGTTTTTTGCTCGAATCCAGATACATAATTGAAAGGGCTTAGCACCTCTATGTTTAAAGGATTAGACGTACATAGCAAATTTCATATGCAGCTGGTTTAATTACTATAAACCATTTAATTCAATACGAACATTACGCGATGCATTACCAATTTTTTTGATTCCATCGTACTTTAATGAAGTTCGTCTTTAGCAGTTCGATCGTCCGTTAGGTCTCACTGACGTATAACATATATTCCATTTTAACCATTATTATTTTAATTTGTGTAAATTCAATAAAATTTTTGTATGTCACGATTGCAGAAACTTATGAATTCATTTTTATTCGATTTTTTTTATTTTTACATCATTTTCACTTTAAATTTCTTTTTTATTTTTACATAAATATTTCAGGCATTTCATGCATTGGTTTGTACATTCTAGCTGCGTCAGCGATCTCCTTTTCATCCTTACTTTTTTCTTTTCT